AAAAACAAATAAAAGAAAAATAAAATTAAATGAAACTAAAATAGGAATAAAAAAAGAAAAATAAAATAAAATAATGAATTAAAATGAAATAAAATATTAAAATAAAATAATAAAGTAAAATAAAATAAAATAAAATATAAAAAGTAAATTAAAAAATAAATTAAAATAAAAAATACAATAAAGTAAAAAAATAAAGTAAAATAAAGTAAAATGAAGTGATAAAATAAAATAAAATAAAATAAAATAAAATAAAAAATTCAAATAAAATAAAATAAAACAATAAAAAAAAATAAAATAAATAAAAATAAAATAAAATAAAATAATAAAGAAAAATAAAAAAAAATTAAAAATAAAATAAAATAAAATAAAGTAAAAAAAAATATTAAATTCAAATAAAATAGAATAAAATAAATTAAAAAAATAAAATAAAATAAAACATAATAAAGTAAAATAAAACAAAATAAAATAATAAAATAAAATAAAAATTAAATTAAATTAAAAGAGGAATAAAAAGAAAAATAAAATAAAATCAGATAAAATAAAATAAAATAATAAAATAAAATAACATAAAATGAAATAAAATAAAGTTAAATAAAATAAAATAAAATAAAATAAAATAAAATACATCAATATAAAATAAAGGAAAATAAAATCAAATAATAAATGAAAATAATATAAACTAATATATTAAAATAAAATAAAATAAAAGAAATTATAATAAAATAAAATAATAAAATAAAATAAAATAAAATAAAATAAAATAAAATAAAAAAAAAATAAAATAAATAATAAAATAAAAAAAAAGAAAATACAATAAAATTAAAATTCTTCACCCCAAATCCTCACTCTTCACCCCAAATCTCAGCTCTTTGCCCCAAATCTTGCTTCTTCACCCCAAATCTCAACCTTACACCCCAAATCTCAACTCCCGCCCCAAATCTTCGTTCTTGGCCCCAAATCCCCACTCCTGGTCCCAAATCTCAGCTCCTGGCCCCAAATCTGCACTCGTAGCCCCAAATCTCAGCCTGTGGCCCCAAATCTTCATTCCTGGCCCCAAATCTTCGTTCTGGGCCCCAAATCTTCGTTCTTGGCCCCAGATTTTTGTTCTGGGCCCCAAATCTCCACTTCTGACCCCAAATCTCCACTCCCGGCCCCAAATCTTCGTTCTGGGCCCCAAATCTTCGTTCTGGGCCCCAAATCTTCACTTCTGGCCCCAAATCCTCATTCTTGGCCCTAAATCTCAACCTTTTGCCCCAAATCTCAGCTCCTGGCCCCAAACCTCAGTTCTTGGCTCCAAGGCTCAACCAAGGTCCCCAAACCTGGGTGCAAATGGTCGAGATTTGGGGCAAACGGGCCAGATTTGTGTCTGTGGGGGTCAACAATGGGGTCAAGGGTAGGAGGGAAGGACCTGGGGAACGGGGATGGGGACGGGACCAAAATTAGAACCAGCAGCATGAGCCTCCCAACCCCAACCATCATAGGCGATTTTGGCACAGAAATAGGATCCGAAATCCTTGTCCTTGAGGTTGTTCATGGTCAGCGTCACCAAGCTCTGCCCGTTGTCCCTGGAGATGCTGAACCGGCCCTTCACCGACGGCGCGTAACTGGGGGTGAAACCATCACCGTTGATCCCCGCGACGAATTCCAAACCCTGCCCGGGACTCTGACGAACCCAGCCCATCCCATCCCAAAACTGCTGAAACTGAACCCGGACCCTCGGCAGAGGAGGCGCAGGGACCCCCCGGGGGGCTGGAGGTCCCCCCCGCACTCCAGCAGGGTCACGGCCACCCAGAGCCCTGTGGGAAAATGGGGAGATGATGGAAATCATAAACCTGATTGGTTGAGGACCTCGAGGTGGGCGTGGCCATCTGGAAAAAAGGGTCAGGACCCACCTGGGAGGAGGATGATGAACTCCAAGGGTCCCAGTTTTGGGACAAGAGTCAGGATTTGGGTCAAGGGTTGAGCTTTGGCCTCATCCCCATCTCCCCTTTGTCCCGCAGGGCTCCGGGCGGCCGTGACCCTGCTGGAGTGTGGGGGGGACCTCCAGCCCCCCGGGGGGTCCCTGCGACTCCTCTGCCGAGGGTCCGGGTTCAGTTTCAGAAAATTTGGGATGGGCTGGATGCGCCAGAGACCCAGGCAGGGACTGGAATGGCTCATGGGGATCACCAACACTGGTGGCAGCACCAGCTACGCGCCATAGGTCGAGGGTCGGTTCACGATCTCCCGGGAAAACGGGCAGAGCTCGGTGACGCTGACCATGAATAACCTCAAGGACGAGGATTCCGGATGCTATTTCTGTGCCAGGGCTTTTTGTGCTGGTTGTTGGGCTGTTGCTAATCATGGTGACAATGCTGTTGATAGCGTTAAACTTCTAGATTTTGCTCCTGTCCTATCATTGCATCTCCACATCTTCGATTTTCATCCCAAACCTCACCTCTTGTCTCAGATCTTGACCCTTTGTCCCTATTTGCATCAATGGTCAGCACCGACACCAAACCTTCGCCTGTTTCTGCCCCAAAACTCAACCACTGGCCCCAAACCTTCTCCCTGACCCTTTGTCCCAGCCCCGCCCCCTTTGCCCCAACGCTGCTTATTGGCCCCAAACCCTCCCCTGGGTCTGGCCCCAAACTCAACTCTCGGCCCCAAATCTCCCCCTCGTGCCCCAAAAGTGCCCCAAGGGTAGAGATTTAGGGGCAGCGGGTGAGGTTTGGGTCAGCGGCTGTGGCTGGGAGCCTAGAGTGGGGATTTGGGGCAGAATCGGGCGAGTTTTGCGGCCAACGCAGGACGGTTTGGGGCAGAACCAGTTTGGGGGTTTGGGGTCTTTGGTCAGCATTGGGGGAAATAGGGGAGACCTGGGAGAAGGTGCAAGAATGAGGTCAAGGGCTGAGATTTGGGTAAAGGTTCTGAGATTTGCGGACCAGAGGAGCTCAGGCACGGGCGCTGCCACCACCGGCAGGGTCAATGTAAGCAGCAGCAGCCCAAGCAGCACCAGCAGCTTTGGCACAGAAATAGGATCCGGAATCCTCGTCCTTGAGGCTGTTCATGGTCAGCGTCACCGAGCTCTGCCCGTTGTCCCTGGAGATCGTGTACCGGTCGTTGACCGACGGCGTGTAGATGGTGCTGGAACCATCGCTCCTGATCCACACGACAAATTCCAGCCCCTGCCCGGGTCCCTGGCGGATCCAGAACATGTCAGAGCTGCCGAAACTGAACCCGGACCCTCGGCAGAGGAGGCCCAGGGTCCCCCTGGGGGGCTGGAGGTCCCCCCGCACTCCAGCAGGGTCACGGCCGCCCAGAGCCCATCCCCAAATCTTCACCAATCGCACTCATAACTCCACTGATTAGGTCCCAAATCTCCATCACATTTTTCTGGTATCCTAAGGTTCCTCAAATCCTGCAAGTTAACTCCATATTCTCAGTAATTAATTGGACACATTGCCCTGAGTGTTCTACATTGATTTCAAAACTAATACCACCATTAACCATTCCCAACCTTGGCACATCCCGGCCACGGCCTTGAGCTCCCTCCGGCTCCTGGCCCTCCTGCTCCTGCTGCCCCTCCCAGGTGGGTCCCACAACTTTTTCCTGAAAGTCACGCCCCTTTTCCCCTTCTGGACCAATCAGGTTTCCCATCCCCATCTCCCCTTTGTCCCGCTGGGCTCCGGGCAGCCGTGACCCAGCTGGAGTGCGGGGGGGACCTCCAGCCACCCGGCGGGTCCCTGCGCTGTCTCTGCTGAGGGTCCGGGTTCCATTTCGGTCATTCTGATCTGCACTCGATGCGCCAGAGCCCTGGGCAGGGGCTGCAGTGGGTGGCCGCCATCGACAGCCAAAGTGGCACAAACTATGCGCCATCATTGCGGGGCCTGGTCACGATCTCCAGGGACAACGGGCAGAGCTCCATGTCCCTGACCATGAACAACCTCAAGGACGAGGATTCAAAATCCTATTTCTGCGCCAAGGAGTCCAGCACTAACATTGCTGCTGGTGCCCTCGAATCTATTGACTTGTCCCCATCCCTGGGTCCCCACCTGTCCCCATTCCCCAGGTCCTTCCCTCCAACCCTTGACCCCATTGGTGACCCCCACAGACCCAAATCCGGCCCGTTTTCCCCAAATCTCAACCATTTGCACCCAGGTTTGGGGACCTTGGCTGAGACTCGGTGCCAAGAGCTGAGGTTTGGGGCAGAACCGGCTGAGTTTGGGGCCAACGGTCAGAAGTGATCCCCGCTGAGATCTGGGGCACAAAGGGCAGAGTTTTGGGCATGAACATTTGAGATTTGGGTGAAAGGCTGCAAGGTGCAGAGAAGTGGGAGAGGTAAGGCAGTGATGGTAGAGATTGAGGGAAAAGGGTCAAGATTCAGTTTTAAGAGTAAAGATTTGAGGGTAGAATGTGGGAAATTAGGGATGTCTGTGAGATCAAAGGCAGGGTGGGGCCATCATAACCATCGTCAATATAACCAGCACTACTAGAATCACCACCATAAGCATCTTTGGCACAGAAATAGGATCCGGAATCCTCGTCCTTGAGGTTGTTCATGGTCAGCGTCACCAAGCTCTGCCCGTTGTCCCTGGAGATCGTGAACCGGCCCTTGACCGAGGGCGCGTACTCGGTGCTGCCACCATTGTTGTAGATACTTGCTACAAATTCCAGCCCCTGCCCGGGTCTCTGGCAGATCCAGTACATTCCATAATCCCCAAAATCGAACCCGGACCCTCGGCAGAGGAGGCGCAGGGACCCCCCTGGGGGCTGGAGTTCCCCCCCACACTCCAGCAGGGTCACGGCCGCTTCCCCATCCCCAAACCTTGATCAGTTTTGCCCCAAATTCCCTTTGTCTGGCCCTAAATCTCCAACAGAGATTTCCAGTATTGTAAAGTGCCTTCAACCCTGCAATTAGCCCCAATCCACACATTAATTAATTGGACAGCACCACCCGAATTTGCATCGCCTCATCTCCATCTCCCCTTTGTCCCGCAGGGCTCCGGGCGGCCGTGACCCTGCTGGAGTGCGGGGGGGACCTCCACCCCCCCGGGGGGTCCCTGCGCCTCCTGTGCCAAGGGTCCGGGTTCAGTTTTCGGGATTATGGAATGTTCTGGATCCGCCAGAGACCCGAGCAGGGTTTGGAATATGTCGCAAGCATCTACTCCAATAGTGCCTACACCTACTACGCGCCATGGGTCGAGGGCCTGGTCACGATCTCCAGGGACAACGGGCAGAGCTCGGTGACGCTGACCATGAACAACCTCAAGGACGAGGATTCCACCGTTTATTTTTGCGGAAAATCTGCTGGTACTGGTGATGGTGGTGCTCTTGCTAATTAGGGTGTTGATGATGGTCGTGTCCCCATCTCCGTGTCCCCCTCTGTCCCCGTTTCCCAGACCCTTCCCCCAAGCCCCCAGCCCACACCCAGCCCTTGACCATTGATCCCAACCTTGCTCTGCCTCGGCCCCAATTCTCACCCGCTGACCCCAAGCCACAACTCCTGACCCCAAATCTCCTCTTTGTGCCCCAAAACTTTGCTCAGACGGTCGGGATTTGAGGCCCAGGGTTCTGATTTGGGGACAAAGGTTGAGGATTCGGTCAGTGGCTGCTGCTGCAGGGAGCACAAAGTGGGGATTTGGGGCAGAATCAGTTTGGGGGTTTTGGCTCCACGGTTGGTGGTGATGGAAATGGGGAGATCTGGGACAAAGGGTAAGGAATGGGGACTAGGGCTCAGATTTGGGTAAAGGTTCTGAGATTTGGGGACAAGAGGGGCTCAGGCAAGGGCGCTACCACCACCGGCATGGTCAATGTAAGCAGCAGCAGCCCAAGCAGCACCAGCAGCTTTGGCACAGAAATAGGATCCGGAATCCTCGTCCTTGAGATTGTTCATGGTCAGTGTCACCGAGCTCTGCCCGTTGTCCCTGGAGATCGTGTACCGGTCGTTGACCGACGGCGTGTAGATGGTGCTGGAACCACTGCTCCTGATCCACGTGACAAATTCCAGCGCCTGCCCGGGTCTCTGGCGGATCCAGAACATGGAGAAACTACCAAAACTGAACCCGGACCCTCGGCAGAGGAGGCGCAGGGACCCCCTGGGGGGCTGGAGGTCCCCCCTGCACTCCAGCAGCGTCACAGCCACCCGGAGCCCTGCGGGACAAAGGGGAGATGGGGATGAGAAACCTCATTGGTTGAAGGCCCCAAACTGGGTGTGGACTGCTGGTAAAAGGGGCAGGACCTGCCTGGGAGGAGGATGAAGAACTCCAAGGGTCACAGTTTGGGGCCAAGGGTCAGGATTTGAGTCAAGGGTTGAGCTTTGGCCTCATCCCCATCTCCCCTTTGTCCCGCAGGGCTCCGGGCGGCCGTGACCCTGCTGGAGTGCGGGGGGGACCTCCAGGCCCCCGGGGGTTCCCTGCACCTCCTCTGCCAAGGGTCCGGGTTCAGTTTCGGCAGTTTTGCCCTGAACTGGGTCCAATAGAGACCCGGGAAGGCGCTGGAGTGGCTCTCAGGGAGGTAAAGCAATGGTGGCAGCGCCTACTATGCGCCATCAGTCAAGGGCTGGTTCACGATCTCCAGGGACAATGGGCAGAACTCGGTGACGCTGACCATGAACAGCCTCAAGGACGAGGATTCCGGATCCTATTTCTGTGCCAAAAATATTGATAATAATTTCTGCAGTGCTGGTGCTCCTCTTGATCCATCTGATCCCATCATCGGGTCCCCATCCGTCCCCATTTCCCAGACTCTTCCTCCATTCCTGTCGCCCTGTCCCAGCTCTGAACTGGCTCTGCCCCAATCTCAGCTCTTGCCGCCAAATCTCAGCTCTTGGCTCCCATGCTCAATGAAGGTCCCCAAACGTGGGTGCACATGGTCGAGATTTAGGGAAAATGGGCCAGATTTTTTTCCGTGGCTGTGACTCAGTTCCACCACTGCAATTTTGGGACAGAACGGGTCCAGTATGGCAAAAATGGTTGGGATTGGATGGACGAAGGTGAGCTCAGCGTGAAACCGGCCCTGATTTGGGGCCAGGAGCTGAGATCTGGGGCAAGAGCAGGGCAAGGTTGGGACAAAGGGTCAGGAGTGGGATCAGGGTTTGGAGGGAAGGGTCTGGGGCAAGGGGAGAAGGACGAAGCTGAAAGGACAACCAGCAGCAGCATTCCAACCACCAGTGCGTGGTTCTTTGGCAAAGAAATAAACGGCGGAATCCTCGTCCTTGAGGTTGCTCACGGTCGGAGTCACCGAGCTCTGCCCGTTGTCCCTGGAGATCCTGACGCGATCCTTGAACGATGGCGCGAGGTTGGTGCCAGAACCATGGCTCCTGATGCTCCCGACCCACTCCAGCCCCTGCCCGGGTCTCTGTCGGAGCCATTGCAGGGCAACACTCCCGAAACTGAACCCGGACCCTCGGCAGAGGAGGTGCAGGGACCCCCCGGGGGGCTGGATGTGCCCCCCGCACTCCAGCAGGGTCACTACAGCCCGGAGCCCTGTGGGACAAAGGGGAGATGGGGATGAGGCCAAAGCTCAACCCCTGACCCACATCCTGACCCTTGGCCCCACATTGGGATCCTTGGATTTCATCATCCTCCTCCCCAGTGGGTCCCGCCCCTTTTTCCACCTGGGTAAGCCCACTCAGATGCACTGGACCAATCAGGTTTCTCATCCCCATCTCCCCTTTGTCCCGCAGGGCTCCGGGTGGCCGTGACCCTGCTAGAGTGCGGGGGGGACCTCCAGCCCCCCGGGGGGTCCCTGCGCCTCCTCTGCCGAGGGTCCGGCTTCAGTTTCGGCAATTTTGGCATGCACTGGATCCGCCAGAGACCCGGGCAGGGGCTGGAGTGGCTCGCAGGGATCAGTGACAATGGTGGCAGCACCAAGTACGCGCCGTCGGTCAAGGGTCGGTTCAGGATCGCCAGGGAAAACGGGCAGAGCTCGGTGACGCTGACCATGAACAACCTCAAGGACGAGGATTCCGGGTCCTATTTCTGTGCCAAACGTGACAATGGTTATGCTGGTGGTAATGCTGCTGCTGTATTTTCCTTCACTTTTGGTAGTGACCACGAGGGTCGTGAAATTTCTCCAATCCCAGCGATGCTTCCCCCAAGTTGCAGCCCTTCTACAACTTCGACCATTTCCCCCCAAGCTCTGCCATTGTTGCCTGAACTCTGTGCTTTCCTCCAATTTTGCCCATTACTCCCTAATCTCTACCAAGTCCCAGGCCCTGATTGGAGGAGCCCTGAACTGGAGGCCAGGGGTGAAGGTTTGGGGCCAATGGCTGAGACTTGGGGCCGGAGCAGGGGAGGGTTTGGGGTCAGTGCTGACCATTGGGGCACATGGGGACAAAGGGCCAAGGGCTGGGTGAAGAGGTGAGATTTGGGACGAAAATCAGAACTCTTGGGACACAGTGATGGGAGAGGTATCGGAACCAGGACCTGGAGGCCATAACGGGCATCGTCAACATAACCAGCACTAGGAACACAACCAGAGCACGGAGCTTTCCCACAGAAAAAGGATCCGGAATCCTCGTCCTTGAGGTTGTTCATGGTCAGCGTCACCGAGCTCTGCCCGTTGTCCCTGGAGATCCTGAACCGGCCCTGCACCGAATCCGCGTAGTCGGTACTGCCACCTTTGCTGATCTGTGCAATGAATTCCAGCCCCTGCCCGGGTTGCTGTCGATACCAGCCCATCCCAAAACTGCAAAAACTGAACCCGGACCCTCGGCAGAGGAGGCGCAGGGACGCCCCGGGGCGTTGGATGTCCCCCCCGCACTCCAGCAGGGTCACAGCCGCCCGGAGCCCTGTGGGACAAAGGGGAGATGGGGATGAGAAACCTGATTGGTCCAGAAGGGGAAAAGGGGCGTGACTTCCAGGAAAAAAGGGCGGGGCCCGCCTGGGAGGTACAGCAGGATCAGCAGGGCCAGGAGCCAGAGGGAGCTCGAGGCCGTGGCCGGGATGTGCCTGGGTTGGGATCCCGGGGGGTTTTGGGTGTCGTTAACAGTGTATTAACTGTGTAATCAATGCAGAATGCTCAGGATGAGGTATGTAATTAATTAAAGAATTGATTGGGGTTAATTGCAGTTTTCAGGCATGTTGAGATATGGAAAACTCTGGTGGGGTTTTGGGGCTAAACAAGGGGAGTTATGAGAGAAATGGGTGAAGATTTGGGGATGGGCTCTGGGTGGCCGTGACCCTGCTGGAGTCCAGGAGCACCTCCAGCCCCCCGGGTGGTCCCTGCGCCTCCTCTGCCGAGGGTCCGGGTTCAGTTTTTGCAGTTTTTGGATGGGCTGGTATGGACAGAGACCCGGGCAGGGACTGGAGTGGATCGCAGTGATCTGGAGCAGTGGTGCCATCTACTACGCGCCGTCTCTGCAGGGCCGGTTCACGATCTCCAGGGACAACGGGCAGAGCTCGGTGACGCTGACCATGAACAACCTCAAGGACGAGGATTCCGCCACCTATTTCTGTGCCAAATATGCGGTTTGGGCTGTTGCTGTGAATCCTTTTGTCCCCATTCGCATTGCTGTTTCCCCACTTGTCCCCATTTTCCAGATTCTTTCCCCAAACCCCAACCTGTCACCCCATTCCTGTCCCCGTGTCCCAGCTCTGAACTGACTCTGCCCCAAATCTCAGCTCCTGCCCCAAATCAGGGCCGATTTCACCCTGAGCTCGACCTCGTCCCTCTAATCCCAACCATTGCCCCCAGACTTGTCCAGTTTCACCCCAAATCTCCCCTGCGGGCCCCGAGTCACAGCCACTGACCCAAATCTGCCCCTTGGCCTCAGAATGGGAATTTTGGGCCAAATTTGAATTCTTGATCCCTGATCTTAACTTTGGGCCCAAATCCAGACATTTCGGTGACATTTGGGGAACGAGGGTGCTGAGTGTGGCCCAGAGGGGACATTTAGGGCAGAGCCAGAGCAGAGCTGCGACTGAGGGTGAGGAAATGGGGTCAGGTGCTGGGGATTGGGGGAAGGGTCTGGGGAACAGGAAAGAGGCCAAAAGGATAAACTGGAGCAGCACCCCAATTACCGGCACCAGAAAATTTGGCACAGAAATAGGATCCGGAATCCTCATCCTTGAGGTTGTTCATGGTCAGCGTCACCGAGCTCTTCCCGTTGTTCCTGGAGATCCTGAACCGGCCCTTGACCGATGGCGCGTAGTAGGTGGTGCCTCCACCAGTGTTGATCCCTGCGACCCATTCCAGCGCCTGCCCGGGTCTCTGACGGATCCAAAACATGTCAAAACTCCCAAAATTGAACTCAGATGTGCGGCACAGCAACATCAGGGACCCTCCGGGGGGCTGGAGGTGCCCCCCGCACTCCAGCAGGGTCACGGCCGCCCGGAGCCCTGAGGGACAAAGGGGACATGGGGATGAGGGCAAAGCTCAACCCTTCACCCAAACCCTGAAACTTGGCCCCAAAATGGGACCCTTGGAGTTCTTCATCCTGCTCCCAGGTGGGTCCTGTCCCTATTTCCAGCTGGCTTTGCCCACTTTGAGTCCCTTGACGAATCAGGTTTCTCATCCCCATCTCCCCTTTGTCCCGCAGGGCTCCGGGCGGCCGTGACCCTGCTGGAGTGCGGGGGGCACCTCCAGCCCCCCGGGGGGTCCCTGCGCCTCCTCTGCCAAGGGTCCAGGTTCAGTTTCAGCAGTTTTGGGATGGGCTGGTATCGACAGAGACCCGGACAGGGGCTGGAAGCAGTCGCAAGTATCACCAGCAGTGGCAGCGCCTACTATGCAGATTCGGTCAAGGGCCGGTTCAGGATCTCCAGGGACAACGGGCAGAGCTCGGTGACGCTGACCATGAACAACCTCAAGGACGACGATTCCGGATCCTATTTCTGTGCCAAACGTGCTTATGCTGATAATTGGAGTCCTGGTGCTTCTGCTCAGGACGCCCATGCTGGATTCCTCCCCATCTCAGTGTCCCCTCCTGTCCCCAATTCCCAGACCCTTCCCCCAAATCTCAGCCCTTGACCCCATTCTTGACCCTTTGTCCCAGATCTCCCCCATTACCAACACCACCAACCAGGAAGCAAAAACCCCCAAACTGGTTCTGCCCCAAACCCAACTAACTTGGCAACAATACTCCCCCGATTCTTCCCGAAATCCCCACTTTGTGCTCCCAGCCACAGCCACTGAAACGAGTCCTCAACCTTTGTCCCCAAATCGGGACCCTGGGCCTCAAACCCCGACCTGCAGAGCAAAGTTTGGGGCACAAAGAGGAGATTTGGGGTCAGGAGTTGTGGTTTGGGGTCAGCGGGTGAGAATGACGCTGATGAGGTGGGATGAGACAAAAGCTCAACCCCTGACCCAAATCCTGACTCTTGGCACCAAATTGGGACCCTTGGATTTCATCATCCTTCTCCCGTATGGGTCCTGCCCCTTTTTCCAGCAGACCACACCCACTTTGAGCCCACAGCCAATGAGGTTTCTCATCCCCATCTCCCCTTTGTGCCGCAGGGCTCCGGGCGGCCGTGACCCTGCTGGAGTGCGGGGGGGAACTCCAGCCCCCCGGGGGGTCCCTGACGTTGCTCTGCATCGGCTCTGGCTTCACTCTGGCCAATCACGACATGTTCTGGATCCGCCGGAGACCCGGGCAGGGGCTGCAGTTGGTCGCCCACATCACCTACAATGGAGGTTACACCATCTACAGTCCATCGGTGCAGGGCGGGTTCACAATCTCCAGGGACAACGGGCAGAGCTCGGTGACGCTGACCATGAACAACCTCAAGGACGACGATTCCGGATCCTATTTCTGTGCCAGACATCACAAATATTGGGGCGCTGATTTTGTTTTTATTGCCGGTGCTCTCAGCGATCCCATGCCCTTGATGGTCTCTAAATGTCTCCAATCGCCACAGATTCTTCCCCAAAATCCCAACCCTTCTCCTCAAATCTTGGCTATATTCCCCCAATCTCTGCCCCTGTTCCCGCAGCACTGGAGTTTCCCCAATTTTGCCCATTTCACTCAAATCTCCCCCAGCTCCCTGAACTCTGATTGGCTGATTGGGCACAGTCAAAAATGGGAACTCTTGGAGAGCAAGGCCTGAATTGGGGGATGTGTTTGATTGTTTGGGGTCAATGGTTGAGTTTAGGGGCAGGAGCAGGGCAGGGTTTGGGGTCAGTGCTGACCATTGGGGCAAATGGGGGAGATTTGGGACAAAGGGTCAAGGGCTGAGGTTTGGGGGAAGAGTCTGGGGTTGGGGACAGGGGGGGCTCAGACAGGGGTGGTGCCACCACCGGAATGGTCAATATAAGCAGCAGCATTACCACCAGCACCACTCTCTTTGGCACAGAAATAGGTGGCGGAATCCTCGTCCTTAAGGTTGTTCATGGTCAGCATCACCGAGCTCTGCCCGTTGTCCCTGGAGATCGTGAACCGGCCCTTGACGGATGGTGCGTACCTGGTGCTGCCACCACTGCTGGTGATACTTGCAAGCCATTCCAGTGCCTTTGTTGGTCTCTGTCGATACCAGCCCACGCCAAAACGGCCAAAATCGAACCCGGACCCTCGTCAGAGGAGGCGCAGGGACCCCCCAGGGGGCTGGAGGTCCCCCCCGCACTCCAGCAGGGTCACGGCCGCCCGGAGCCCTGCGGGACAAAGGGGAGATGGGGATGAGGCCAAAGCTCAACCCTTGACCAAAATCCTTACTCTGGGCCCCAAACTGGGACCCTTGGAGTTCATCATCCACCTCCCAGCAGGTCCCATCACGTTTTCCAGCAGACCACATGCACTATGAGACATTCAAGCGATCAGGTTTTTCATTTCCATCACCTCCCCTTTGTCCCGCAGGGCTCCGAGCGGCCGTGACCCTGGTGGAGTGTGGGGAGGACCTCCAGCCCCCCGGGGGTTCCCTGCACCTCCTCTGCCGAGGGTCTGGGTTCAGTTTCGGGAGTGTTGCCATGAACTGGGTCCGCCAGAGACCTGGGCAGGGGCTGGAGTGGCTCGCAGGAATCTACAAGGATGGTTCCAGCACCTACTACGCGCCATCGGTGCAGGGCCGGTT